GAAATTTTCGATGAATTATATATTGATACATTTTATTTATTTGTGCATAAAAAAATGACTTGATATTACATGAAGTCAAATTTAAATAACTTATGAACACAAAAATATTTTAATTTAATAACTTAAGAATCATTATAATTGATCAATTTGCATAAATTATTTCTAACGAAATATATTCATTCAAACAGCAAAAAGTCTTAAAAGGCTTATAAAATAATTTGAATGTTTATTAACAAGTACATTTGAATATGCACAAGTTTGAATAGGGTAGCAACAGGTGCTTAGAGACTCAAGGACCCATCAATAGACAGGAACTTCCAACTTCAACTATCGACAAAGTTAAAGCAATGAACATAACGCCCCCATTCTCCTGGTGGCTGTGGCTGGGCCAGTCGATGGGCGGGCAAGAAGTGAACCACATGTCAATGTCAAAGGCGATGACAAAGACAAATTTACCTCAGCTACAGCATGTGGGATCCTCTGGACTAACATCAGGCACAGATACCTAGCTATATATATATATATATATATAGAGATATAGTATATTGAAGTTGATATAACCAAACGCTTAAAGCACTTGGCGTTCGCATTTAAATACAACATTTTTTCCTTGGGGTGACATTCTTTAATCGAAAATACCAAGCAAGACAATGCTGTGAATTTAATGCAATACACACACACACTCTCGCACACACAAACAGAGAGGCAGCTCAAATGGCGCCAAATTCCGTCCGGCAATCAACTAAATTCAAAGCAAATTGCCCGCACAGTGAATTTTGGGCCATGATTGTTACTGTAACTGCGAGACAGTAGGCGGGGCATTGGCAGTGAATTTGTATAGTGGCTGCAAGGGGTGGGGGGTGGCAAGCAAACGCCTCATTATTTTGCGCTTGAGAAATTTCTGTCTCGTCACTAATTCATCATTGTTTCGGCACATTAAATGCTTGAACGTCAACGCATTCATTATCTTATGGGGCAACTGGTCTTTTGGCCAACTCATCGCCAGGCGCCACACATGGTCAGCTATCTGTCTGTCAGTGTGTGGCTGTCGCTAAAGGCAACAAAGTCTCATGCCTGAGTGATATTAACTGACCCGACATTCCGTCAGCGAGCCAAAGAAAAAGCTAAAACAAGTTAGAGTGCTCTTCACGAAAGTACGCGACTTGCAAATACCCTAAGCAGAGCGATATACATATTACTAGCCCCGTACTAAAGAAGATGCGTTCTTGAATAACCTTGGTGTTGTTGTTGTTATTATGGCATGAATTCTATTTTATTTTCCGAGCTCTGCTTAAAAAACCTTCGTACCAAATCGATTTTTATCGAGGTTAGGCATTCACGGGCGTATATCGATAGGATAAAGTCGTGCCATATATAATATACTCAGGTTGCCATATTGATCAACAATACCTATGCTATATGGAGACGAACATATTTCCTTCTGCCTGTTGCATCCATAAACATTATAGCAATAGGCTCCCTTTCATCCAATTTCTATGCTTTCAGGGTATAACAAACGCACGACGTGGCCGGCAAAGACTTGAGCCAGATTTAGGCCGAGCTATGTTTCATAGTTGCGGCCAAGCGCTCAAAATGCCCTTGTCATTTGCTTCACAAATCCTTTTTAATTTCGTTGTATGCATGGCTGTCTATGTGTGTGCCAATGTGTGTGTGGCTATGTGTGAGTGTCTATGTGTGTGTGTGCTTAGCATGTTAATTGCTTTCTAAGCTAATCGAATTTTTTGCTAGTCATTATGAGTAATGCGCTTCGGTTTTGGCCTGGCCTAAAGCAATTTGTCGAGTAACTTTCCAAATGGCAAATTGCTTTAAGCCAGCCAGGATTTCAGCTATTTATGAAAGCATAAATATTAAAGCCATGTTAATGTTTTGTCAGCCGCAACGACAACAACAACAATATAAGTACTTAATCGCACATGTCAGACATACTTAATTTTACATGAAAACAATACAATATTGTAAACAAATAAAAAATTGAAAAAACATTTGGATAAATAAATGAAAAAAAAAAAAGGAAAATATAAAATGCATTCACAATATTTACCAAATGTATGCTTAATTTACATATTAAATATTTTAATTTAAGTATTGATTTTAAGCGCTTTTTTTCGTGAAGGTATTTTAATATAACAATAAGAAGGCACGCCAATTATTTAATGCTCTTTTAGACATCTTCCTTTTGAGGATATGTGAGAATATTGAAGCTAGAAAAGTATATATGTTTGCATATATATGAAGATCATACTAATAAATTCCGAGTTGGGTCAAGTTATATTAATATAAAAAAATTGTTTTTTATATCAAAACTTATTTTTTCACCATTCCTATCGCAGCCATATGATGTCACTATACCTGACAACAGGCAGCCATATGTTGGAACTTTGCAAAAAACGGACCTATGAAAAGTTTCAAAACGATAGCTTTCAAATTGAGAGGCTAGATCGCATAGAAATGGACAGACGGGTAGACAAACATACCGACTCGGCTATTGATGATAATCTCAGGGATCTTTGAATTATTAAGACTTATACCAAGAAAATGATTTATACGTAACTATTAAAGGTATATTACCTTATATTTAATACCACAAAAACTTCAAAAACTAAGGATTCACTACACATAGAATAAGTCAGAAATGATAATTTGCGTACAAATACTTATATACAACTTAAGGGATCTGGCAATTATTATTAGCCATACCTAATGTAGGCTCAACTATAATATTATTATTTTATGTATAACCACGATTGCATCAAGAACTAAGCAAAAACTATACATAGATAAAGTCAGAATTTGTGAACAGAATATAAAAATTAATATATAGAGCTTAAACGGTGAATTGTTTAGAGCTATCCAAGTTTAAGTTCCCGCAATTAATTTAAATAATTTCCATAAATATTACGATGAAAATATTAAAAACTAATGTTTCCAAACATACATACAATATATTAAATGTTACTAAAATCATGTCCATTATATTTATTGCTGCTCGAATTATTCAATTATATTATTATAGCCGCAAACTTTATGAGCAAATTATCAGAAAGTTCTGCCTGAGTAAATGTCGTTAAAGCGGGGCTACCGGAATAAGTTATATTATGGTGCTAATTTATGGAGCACATAAGTTAATTTTTGTTTTGTCTGTAGTTTGTTGTAATTAGTGAACGTTCAAGCCGTTGGACATTACTATACAGGGTCATTAAATCCGGCTCTGCCACGGAACTCGGACACATAAACAAATGAAAAACTGTTGCTTCCGCCTACTGCGTAAGAGTCAAACATACAAAGGGCAAGCGAGGAACAAGTTGAGAGAGACAGAGATAGCAGCTGGCTAATTATTTTGTCGGTTGTGCAAAGTTCATAGTTCAGATATAAAAAAATGCTGCAACAAGAACAAGTACAACCGGCAACATTAATAATTACAATACCACAAGCACATTCAGTCGCCTCTGCCCTTGGCCGCGCCCATTTCAGTAATTTTTATTATCAGGCCAAAAACAAAATAAACTTAATTAAAAGCCACGCTTAGCACGCCGGCCGTCCTTTGATTCATGGCCTGCATTTCCACAGCTGCCTTAAATGCAATAATAAATGTGCGAAAAAAAAATAAATTATCCTCATTTGCGAGAAATAAAAGTTTTGACCCTTGAACAATGTCAAAGATATGAAAAGCTGCACTGAGTTTACAGAAGTAGCCAAAAAAATTGTTGCATAAATTAAAGCTAACACGCATATATCTATAAAGCCTTGTTCTGATTGACTGACTGAATGATTGATCCTCACTGAGCAGGCCAAGCCATTATAACTACGATACAGTCAATTCAGTATTAACATTTCGTGATGTAAATTAACATTTGAATGCTATATGATATCCATATAAATAATAGCGTCTGGCTTGATTGACTAACCGACTGATTGTCGACCTTTACACAGGCAGCACCGGTGACAAAATGTTACCCCTATTTTTATACTCTGAACCCATTAAAAATAGGTAAATAGGTAGAGTATATTATATTTGTACAACATCCAAATGTATGTAACAGACAGAAGAAGCATCTCCGACCCCAGAAAGTATATATATTCTTGATCAACACCAATAGCCGAATCGATCTAGCCATGTCCGACTATCTGTTTGTCCGTTTGTCCGTCCGTCCGTCCATATGTATGAACGCAAGGATCTCAGAACCTAAAAGAGCTAGAGACTTGAATTTTAAGATAACTTACTCCGTTTCCAAGCAATCGATAAAAATCGATATCGATATCCTGTTTTTTGGGCAATTTTGGTAAATAAAAAGAGCTAGAGTCACCAACTTGACACACAGCTTCTAAAATAGAATATATATATGCATTTGGCGTTGGAAGAAGAGGGTTCAGAGTCTGCCCTAGTCGGGAGCTCCCCTCTTACTTGTTATAAATGGGACTTTAGGCCTTTGGGGCTGGGATACATGGAATCGCAATAGTTACCTTTCGGCGTGTAAGTAAAGGCTTATAACTGCACGACATCTACTCAAATGAAACAATTTGGCTTGATTCTTTAACTGAATGTGAACTCAATTCCAATGAATTTTGTAGAAATGTATTGGAAACGTGTTTAATGATCACAGAAATATGTCAAAACTATAGCACACTTTTTGGCTCAGGATCGGTCTCCGATCGAACTTGAGTTTTATTTATAATCAAATTAATAAAAGCGTGTTTTTGGAAAAGCGCACACATGGCCGATTAGTGTAAAAATTCAGATTTTAAATTAACTTTTACAATTTTTTTAATGTCTTTTATTGATCACAGGTGGTTCTTGATATTGCATAATAATAAGGTTCACATAAGGTGAAACAATCTGACTTTATTCGTAGCTTTTTTGCTCAGATTTAATTGGGCTGTTAACGGCATTTATATGCATTTAATACATTTAAAAATAACTGCAGTTATTAACAGCTCTATTGATAAATAACCGCAATAACTGTATGCATTTTCCATTGCAGCCGTACAGCCCATCGAGGCACTGCATCTATCGAACCTCTCCGTCCCGCGAATTATCGATGTCGCCCAAAAGGCCAAACTGTTCTGCAGCTATGAGATGGGCAATCGGACACTCAACTCGGTCAAATGGTATAAGGATGGCCAGGAGTTTTTCAGGTAAGCCCAGTGCCCACTGCCCACTGCCCACAGCCCACTGCCCCTGCCCACTGCTAACTGCCAACTGGCAACTGCTGCGGCGGCTGTAAAACAAATAAAACAAAAACAAAAAGAAAAACAGTCATAAAAATATTTTTCGGTTCTGGCTCGATATAATAAAATGGCCAGTGTGCCGGCGCATTCATGCAGATTTTATGGTGTAAATTGAAAACGTCATGAAATTGCAACACTGTCCGCAACAATGTGAGGCAGGGGAAGTATGCGGGCTGATTGGGGTACACATTGGGGTTGAACACTCGATCGCTTGAAAGTGTCGCGACTAATTTAAATGCTTAATTGAAATGGATTTTTATGGGCGCCAGCAATTGCGCTCAGGTGACGTTGCCATTTCGACAGTGTAATAGCCCTCCAGCCTCGCACACTCCCACTGCCAGCTCACGTTCAAATATGTGTGAAGCGCACTTTTTATTTAACTGACTTAATTGTAGGTCATTGGTCAGGCTTAATCGAGCACAAAATTCTCACACTGTACACCTCCTTTTTTAGGCTCCGATTTTTGTAATTGATTTTAAGGCCATGTGCTGCACGGTTTATTTTTCGCTAACATTTCATAATTGGCGACGCAGCATGCGCCCTCCGAAACTAATGCGGCAAATCTCAGTTAACCACATGTCAAGCTATCAAATTTGATACACATTTTGTCAGTGGGGGCCGTGGTTGCATTTCTGTTGCTTTTAGGCGCATTAGTTGTGGTATTATTATGGAATTTAATGTGGCTGGCACTCGTTAGCGAATAACTGAATTAATGCAAAGCAATTGTCACTGGGGTTGCATCAAGGAATTCGCATGTTAGCACCACAGCTATGTGCATTCAAACCGAATGGCATGTATATATATATTCCTGATTGGTGGCGGTGTTTGGTGAACGCCCAGCCCTAAGTATACAAATTGGGAAGCATTATACTGTAATATGCTTATGATTGTTTTTGGGGTATTCCACCCGCCAGTGTTGAAAAATGTCAGAAATAAATTGTATGAAACCTTATTTTTCACCAACCGATTAACTTTAAGTTTTGAATATACAAAGATCTTTGTTCAAAAACCATCTTATATTTCTCTTCTAAAAAATGGTGACATCTAAACGTAAAGCAAAACACTTGGCACGAGCAAGACCGGTGACTATAACTTATATATTTTATAGCTAATATAATAAAGTTCTCTAGTAAAGCATATTTCCAAATGCACAAACCTCAATTCAAATAAGAATAAGGCATCCGAAATAGAACGAAGTTTCGAATTAATTTCATAAAATTTAATTTAACAATTATTTTATTTTTAAATTAGTTTTTCCGGCTTATGTTTTATGGTAGCTTGAAAATAAAACTAAATTTAACATATATTTAAAATCTGTCAAAATTAATACCCTTCTGGGATCAGACATATTCGATGTGGAATGTTATAGGCCAAGAATATTATAATATATACTTAAGACTTAGATTTACTCGATTTAATTCAAGTAGTATATTTTATTATATATATATATTTAATTATACTAAAGTACAAACGTATAATCAATATTGATATACAAAAATATGTTGAAAAATTAAATAAAAAGTAAAATAAATATCGGACACAAAATAGCTAGATTATTTTAACTAAATTTAAATGACATTTCATATGTAAATATTTATAAAAAATACAAAATAAAACAATAAAAATATGCAGCAGCAGAAATAGCATTCTATTTAGCTTTAATTTGTTATTTAGTTGTTTGCAACTTTACCATGCAATATTCTAGACATCAAAGAGCGCAGTCCAAATAGCATTTGGTTAAGTTATGCACAATTTGCGCAGCCCTGGTAATAGAATGTATACACTTTTGCTCCCCAATTTGAATTTGATTGTAATTCCATTTATATTTTTTTAAATTGGAGCTATTCAAAAGTACTAAGCCTCAAGCACAACCGCAGTTGCTGCATTCATTGAAAGCGGCATAATACCCGCGTTATTCATAATAAAAAAAAATACAAAAAAATATCGTGCAAATCGTGAGAGCTACGCAAAAGGCGGCTACAAATCGATGGATTTCTATTCCGCAACGTTAGCACAGTTGCAGGGGAACCGAAAAAAAAAACCTTTTTTGCATATGCCTCATAAATATTTCATGGATTCGATTTTTGCGCAGCACTCGACACTCCAAGGCGCTAGCGTTCTCTCGCTCGCACACTGGCTCGCTCTCACTCACTCGTGTTCTATGTTTTTGCAGATACTCGCCGCTAACGCCGCCGACAACAAATTGGTTTCCCGTCAAAGGTGTCACCATTGCCGACGGCTCGTCGCATTGCAATCAATTCATCTGCAACGTGGAACTGGAGAAGCTGAATGTGCACTCGTCGGGCCAGTACCGCTGCGAGGTGTCCGGCGATGCGCCCGAATTCAAGCTGATCGATAAAGCGGCCAATATGACCGTTGGCGGTAGGTAGCAAAACAAACATACCACAGTCCAACTGCCAACTGCCCGTTGCCAGCGTGTCCTGTCACAGGACATTCCCTCTACACTCAGAAAAATAAACGAACAAAATACTGTTCAACCAGGTTAAGTACACATGATGTTGAGAATATTTTTTATGTCGAAATTTCTTAAACTTATCTCAAAATCCTTTGTTCAAAAACATTTCCCAGACGAAACGTCTAAACATGAGACCAATATTTATTTCTAAAGATTTCTTGTAGTAAGAACAAATTTGAATTTTCATAAGATTGGCATGAAATTCTTTTAAAGAACATTTATAATTTTTATTTATTTTTTGAATGTTTTTTAAAGATATTTTCTTAAGGTATTTGCTATTCGAAATACTTGGAAAAAACTTCTGAATCTAAGATCGAACATCAAAATATATATATATATATATATATATACCAGACTGTTTCTCTCGCCCTTGTTATATTTGCTGTTTACTTGTTTGATTTATGTGCGTGTGTGTGTGTGTCTCAGTGTGTGTGTGCGTCACACACAAAGACAACAAATTATGTGCAATTTTGCAAACACTTAATAAAATTATAAATGGTCTCTGCACGGTTCGCCGCCAGCGTTACTGCAAGGGGGAGTCGCGGGGCTGGCAGCTCAACTCCTTTTCATTTATCATCGCCAAGCGGCAGTCGCAGTAGGCGCGTACACAGTTCAAAGGACGCCGCATAAATGCTGCAAAATTGTGACACGCTTCAGCCATTTGTATGAGTAATGATTGTTAATAAATCTAGAACGACTGGCCCAGCGCCCAGCAGTCTATCCCACAATCCCCACATCACCCACTGGCGCCCACCTGCCTGCCAGACCGCCCGCCCGGCCGCCCGCCAGCGGCCAAATTCAGCTCAATTGTGAGTTTTGTACGAATCAATTTATAATCTGCCCCCAAAAAGGGGGCAACGTCGTTGTCACGTACAGCCCAGCACTAGATAGCGGGAATAACTCAAACAACAACACGAAAATGTGAGCTCAAGTGAGTGTGCGAGACTGGTTGATACCCTGTAACCAGCTTCGACTGGTGTTCTCTGTCATACTAACTTAAACACCAATCATGCTGTTTGTTTGTTTGAATATATATATTTATTTAAGAGATGCTAAAATATATTGATTATCGATTAAGAATCTAAGTAATATCTACGTGTCTTCCACTTCTGCTCAAAATCAAAGATAGAGATACTTAATGGAATTAATACCTAGCATACTTAATGCAAAGATAATAATATGTATTCTTCTTCGTCTTCTGCTGAAGATCAGAGATAGTTATACTTAATAGAAATAATTCTTATCGCCCGTTACATGCAAAATTTGAACAAACCCTCTAATCCCATACATATAAAGTGTACAACAAGAACAGCAACTCCGTTTTTTGAGTCTAGGTAGCTGTAGTCGGGGTTTGTTAATTTCAGCGCCGCTGGGAATGATGGCCAACATTCGGAGCTCGCACTCGCTTTGATTGGCAACGTACACGACACAGCCTCAGCCGCTGCCGCTGCCGCTGCGGTTGTGGCCTGGCCTGGTTTATCCTGGCCTGTACGGAGTATGCTGCTCCGCTTTGAAATTCAAATCAATTGATTCTGGCCCAATGTCATTTGACGCAAATGAAAATAGCCTGCTTATGTCTTTTGTTGCACGCGTACGCGATTGCGGCTCAAAATGATTTATTTGCCGCAATTTTCCTGCTCAGCGATTTGTTGCTACTTCAACTCGTGTCGGCAGAGCGATGAGGCGGTGCTTGGCTTTTATTTATTGACGCTGCTTTAAGAGTATTGATTTGCATAATGCGCACTTAAGCATTTGTTTACGCGTAACAATCAAATTTGAATTCGCATTTTCGTATTTGAGTTTCGCCTTTAATTGGATGTTTTGTAGATGTTTGCGAATACTTTTCCTTGCCTTACTCGCCCTACTCCCCAGGGCCACGCCTTGCCTTCTCCTGTTTGTTGTCTGCTGCTATTTGCATGTCAATTTGAATTTTATCTATTGTACTTAGGTATGCCAGTAAGCCACGCTTAACTTGTTCAACATGCAAATAACAATGACTAGATTAGATCCAATGCCATTCTAACTTTATTATGCCATAACTATTGCAATGTTTTTACCTGATGAGTACGCTTAAATTATACGCTTAACTGCAGACACTAGGTGGCATTGGGTCGTTAGTGCTATATGAATATATTTTTGTGTTTCACATTTAGCAGGTTTACTCTTCAGATCTGCGCACTTACTACTACTATAAATAAAAAGATGAACTATTTTGTTCATTAGACAACAAGGTTTTCTGTATCTACAAATTTAACATACATCCTTCTGGATACATATATATTGAATTAATTAAATGCAGCAAAGCTAACTGCTATGATTTGATGTCCGCTTCTTAGCTCTTGCGGATTTCTATGTGCATTTATCACCAATCACCAATGAAGTTTGTTATGTTTACCCCACGAACATGAAAATTTTTAAATAACCAACCAGAGACCCATAAACTGACCGCCATATAAAAGAAATGACTGAATTTGCAGCATGTTGTAAGTCATTTTTGGCATATGCCACCTACGATTCGCCATTCAAATATATATGTTTGTGTGTGTAAAGCATAAGCCATAAAGAGGACAATCCTGGCTATATATAAAATGAGGAGCCAACATTACCGAATATAAAAGCCAACCAAGCAACGCTGCTATCAAACTTCATCAACGAGCTGGTGACAAAGTTTAAGGGCAGCTATGTAACTCTCCCCAACTCTGTCTCTCACATTCTCCTTCTCTAACCCTGCTGCTGCTCCAACTGCATAAACCAATGTGTCTCATGTCCAATGCAGCACGTAGTTTCGACTTAATGCCCCAGCCCTGTTGTGCCGTGTAGTGTGTTGTGTGTTGTGTGTTGTGTGTTGTGTGTTGTGTGTTGTGTGGTGTTGGACAGTGGCTTGTAGCCAGTTTTTTGTTTCAATGGCTGCAAAGCTGCTGACAGACCAACAATCAACTTGGGAATTTTTGTCACCGAAGTGCCATCGCCCAGCGCATCGAATCCACCTGAAAAACTTTGACAAAACAGGCAAAAGTGGTTTGTCGGACCATGTCTCGATTTTCCAACGGCAATCACCTTCTGCTCTTTGATGATGCGACTCGTTGTGGGCACAAAACTTTGCACTGCAAATATTTTTCCGCTTAGTTGCGTGCCATGTGTCGCTGCCTGGCACTGATTAAGTTTTGGAAAGTTTGCACAGGATGTGATCTGTGTCCACAAAGGGCCAGGCCCAACACACACACACACACCTAATTACTTCAGAGATTCCCCAAATATATGTATATATATGTTTTTTTAAAGGTCAAGCCCGTGTTCCTTCCTGCTACACGTGCTACTCCATCAAGCACTTTTGACTTTTGAGTTTTTAATATGGGGTCATCATTTGCGGTGTTTTCGACAGGACACAGGATTGCCCCCAAAGTGCTACACCTGTTTGGTATGCTGCTACTGCTGCTGCTTCTTCTCCTCATTGTTGCTGTTGTTGTTGTTGTTGTTATTGGTGTTGTCGGTTTTGGTCTCGCTTAGCATTCAAGCTGGCAGCAAGCAATTTCCCCAACTGCCTATAGTGTCGTTTATTTCCTCTCTTTACTTTGGCCTTCTTAGTTCTTTTCTGTACACTTGCCAAGGGGGGTATCATAATTTTCAGAAGAAAATTGTAACGCATTGAGCATGTCTTTTCCGAGCCCATTAAATATCTGGATTAATAGAATTGTTCTAATCTGTCAATGATTTTTTACATATCTTTTATTGGCACAAAAATAACCTAAATTGTCTCTTTCTATACACTAAGTCATTCGATTAAAAAGTTATTTGAAAATAACATTGCAAAGCTGTTCTTTTTTTCTTGTTTAAACACTACTATCAAAATTGCGTATAATTTCCAAAGAAAAATATTCGATCGCCGGCATTTTTTTATATTTGTCATCGCATAGGAATTGTCTGTGCTTTTAATATTAACATATTAACTAAATGCTACTAAACAATATTGAGCCAATCAACAACAAATATTTTAAAATGCATTACATATTAACTAAGTTCAAAATCAAACAAGTTCAATATATTTCATTGAAATAAATATTTTAAGAATTCAAAATGTGGTAAATAAATTTGCGTTGTTAAATCAACAGAATTTTAAGTATTTGTTAATATTAAGTTACCATTCCAATAATTTTTTCTTATTATTTTTGTTATACTTACTTATTATTAAAATTATTATTTTATTGTGATTTTCTTATTATATTGTGATATTTTTTTAAATTATTATCGCCTCTACTATAATGACCTCTATGATCTCTAATAGGAAAATAATTATAATATTAATTGAAATATATTTATACCACATATGTATATGTATACCCACATATACATACCCAAATCCTGTCGAATATTGTTTTGAGAATTTTGATTGTATAGCTGACCTTGCACAGATATATATCAGACATTCTGTTTAGATAAGTAAGGGTATTCAATGGTCGACAACACAACGATAACTCTTGCTATTTGTTTTCTTGTTGTTTTTTTGTTTATATTGAGTTCCTTCTGCTGCTGTTGTTTTGTGTTTTACTGGTACTTTGGTATTTTTGGTTTATTTATCCGAGTTGATTGCTTTGTTTTCGTACAATTTTCGTATTTGCCGCATGCTGCGTGTTGTTGCACAGTCACAGCTCTGTTTGCCACAAGGCCCACCGGTACGGCATTACAATGGGTACACCTTGAACATACACCGTCCCGCACACCAGCAACATTGACCTGTCCATCAAATGCGTCCCCCTTCAAAAGGGGCACAACATGGCCGCAATCATCAGCACTGGTAAACAGTCTGGCAACGCCATGGCAAATTTTACTTGGTGAAAACAGGTCAGAAAACTTTTCACCAAAGTGGTTTGTATTAAGTCAATTAAAAAGTTTATAGTACTGCTGACTGCCTGACTTTTGATGGCCCCGTACGCTCACCCACTCGTATTCCCAGAGAATAGCCACGCCTCCGCCCACGCTGCCGCCTCCGCCAGCGGCTCCTTAGCATATTTAACAAATTTTCAACAGCAACAACTGCGCCAGTCGGCATTCATTTAACTGTGGCTCAAGCTAAATTTTCTCCCCAGCTTTTGTTGTTGTTGCTGTGCCCAGTGTTTTGTGGTCGTTCTCGAGTTGGTCGTTGTTGTTGTTGTTGTTGTTGTTGTCGTTGTTGTTTCTGGTTGCTGGTGACGGATACTTTGTTTTCTTCCTAAATGTGTGTGTACTTGTGTCTGTGTGTTTCGTCGCAATAAACCAAATTATTCTTGCTTTCATCAAAAAAGTTTGTCCTGGGAAATTATTTGTAAAGATTAATTAACACTTTGAACAAATATTTAGATTGCTAGCGGCCTGATAATTACCCAACTGGTTTGGTGCTGCAAACAACACCTGCTGAACCAACAACCAAATCATTTTCACGTTTCAGTTGCAGCGTTTGTGTTAGATCCCAATTAGCCCCAGAACTAACAAAAGCCTTAGGTACCAATGGAATGAATACTCTTATTAGCGTTATAGATACCAAAACTATGAAATCGTATTGCATAAGTGTTGCAAAATGTTTGACAGTAAACTGCAATTGCTTTTTTGGTAGCAAATAGTCGATAATATTGAGTATATTTCTTATATTGCTCTAATTTGATATTAATGGCTTTTTAATGATAATCTTAACCTGGCCGGTTCGTAGCCTATGTCTTTAAGTTTTTTTTAAAGCCTTCCGGTTTGATAATGAAACCGGAAGGTTCCAGACTTTTCTATCAAGTTGCAAGAGTTGCAAACGTCTTGTCACCGTTAAAAGATTTGGCTTATTGGGAATTTTTTTTCTTAACTTAACTAGTTTCTAGTCAAAAATAACTTCTTTTAACATATTATGTATTTATTAGTCTATGATTACTCTATGTTAAATTAAATCTTATCATGTTTTATTTAGAATTATCAATAAGTGCTCTATGATATTCAGAAATCAAAACGAGAATGAAAGGATGTCTTCGGCACGCCGAAGATTTAATACCAGTGTAGACATACATTAACAGATATGTTTGCTGATATATATAAAAATGCTGAGTTTGATCAGAGATGTGTCTTTCTATGAATTTCACGTTCTTGACAAAATCATAATACCTTCTATACAGAGAAGATGACAAGAATATGAGGGACAGATTTTTCTTCATATTTATTTAAATAAATTTTCGAGTTCTCAAAAAAATGTTCTGAACTCAGCAACTCATCGTAATGGAAATCTTGCTATGATTTTGGCAAAAACCGATTTTAGAAACTGTAATAACTGGCTTAACTCTGCTTCACAGTGCTGCCAAAATTCGATCCATTCATCACTGGGATGCGGCATGCCTATAAATACCGTGATACGCTGTTGGCCAACTGCAGCTCCGAATGGTCAAATCCAGCGGCGAGGCTTACGTGGTACATCAACAACAAAACTGTAAGTAGATTTGGGGCACGTTGCACATACGCACCGTTGCACTCTCGTCACATTAGATAACTGTGGCCGTGGTCTTTACTGATTGTATGTGCAATGCAAATCGCAAAATTACTTTCAGTATGTGGCCCGGAATTTCCAATGCGCGCATTGACACTGATTGCGCGAGGTTTGCTTCTAAAGACTGTTAATGTTTCGGTTTTCTTTTGTGGCAGGCACCACAGATGCAGCTGCAACCGCAAATCAATGAAGTCACACGCAACGTCGAAGGCTTTCCGCTATATGCCAGCAATCTGCAGCTGCGCCTCCATCTCGACGACAAGCGCTTCATCGGCAAGAGCGAAATGCTGGAGCTGCGCTGCGTTGCGGATATCATGGGCCTGCCCGCCGTGCGCCGTGAGAGCTCCATGCGCACCACCGTACTGGCGCTTAAGGACAGCGGCTACAATCAGCGGCTAATTGAGAATGGCACCTGTGCCAGTGCTCGAGCAGGTATGTCGTCCAGACTCTCATTTATAAACAGTGATTTTTCATCTATACACAATATTTATAATTACATTAATTATTCTTTGTTCCCCTTTATAACTCTTCTTTCTTTAACTTTTTATTCTACATCTTTTTACCTTTTTTATTCTTTATATAACTATTTTATTCATCCCTTTATGACGCACTTATTCTATTTATTTCTCCTTGTTTTTCTTACATAATTAAAACTTATAATCGTGGGAATAATAGACAGGGAACGCTTCTTGCACTCGTTAACTTTCACGTGGCGAGTAGATCCCTTAAATTGCATTTGCCTTTTACTGTGGGAAGTCATACGCGTAATATGATCTTAGGATCTAATTGAAATGCAATTTGATTTTTTTGCTCAAACAATAGTCAAACCTTTGCTAAAAGAAATCTCTTTTTTAACTTTTAACTAATGCGTCCTCTTTAAGCCTCTTGTGTTTTATTTATTTTAATTAATATTAATTTAATATAACTATTTTATTTATACTTCTTTATTTTTAATGTATAGATTAAATATTTATTATTATGTGTATTATTATCGAAATGTTGCTTTTAGCTTTCCGTTATTAAATTGCACGAAGAGAAAAATCAAACAGTTTTCTTAAAATATTGAGTGCTAGTCAAGAATCAAGTATAATTCGTACCCAATTTCAGATATATTCTAAACACTGAAAAAAGTAAAAATAAGTAAACTGCGACCGGTCTGATCATATTTTCAAAACGGGCTTATCTGAATCCATACCACTCTTTTATTTATTCGAATATTTACGCAGATGGACAAAATATATTTTTGTTTATTTTTTGCAGCCACATTTGCCGCCTGGTTGCTGTGCCTGACGTCCTTGATGCGCTGGCACTGCACTCTAAGTTAGTAGCTGACCCTTTTGGCCGCCCTACTTTTAGCCTAATTTTACATAAGCATTTTAAGTCCAGTCAAGGCGACAATTCGATGGGATGTTTTTAGCGCCCAACTACGCCAATGAAAGAAAAATTTAAAGTTAACAAGGCAACTGTTGAATTTGTATATATATTTACATATACACATATATAAATATATATATTAACTATAAAGTAATTGCAGAGTCCCAATCGAATCAGCTTAAACAGTTCTTCGACCCGGCTCTAGCGATTTTTCTTTATGTAATACCAAAATGTGTGTAAGCACAAAAAATATATATATTTAAAAAAAAAAAACCAAAAGAATAACAAATAAAATTTGATATAGTTGAGGAAGAAAAATCATGTACGAGTCATGAATCACATATGTACATCTATTCAAAATACAAATTATAATAACTAATTAATAACAATTTGCACATACGTACAGCATAAATAAATATATATGTATATGTATTTGCACGAAAAAAATAAGAACAAAAAAAAATCAAACATAAAGAATCAAATGAAACACAATCAATGGCAAATAAAAGTAAACATAATTAATAAATGTGAAGTGTTAATGTATTTGTATTAAATGATGTACTTGAAATATAAAAAATAAATTTCAAAGCAAAACTTGTATCGTTTTAACTTTAATTTTTATAGATGCCAACATGGAATTACATTTAATAAGCCAATGTTTGTCTAAGACGGGCACAATATTTAACATTTATTTTGGTCTTTTTTTTAATCGAATTTAATTTGCCATATCCGATTAAATATGCAATATCCGATTAACTATGCATATTTTTTTTTTTATTTGATTTGATATGATGTGACATTTTGATACAAATGAATATGTTTTCTTATATTTATATTTGCCATGCAACCAACCTCGCTCGTATTAAGTCCTAAGCTTCATAGCCGTCTGTCTGTACGTCCGCCCTTATGGATGAACGCAAAGATCTCACAACCTATGAGATCTTGGAAAATTTGGAACGTAGTTTCTCCTAGTGCCCACGCAGTACGAGTTTGTTTCCGGTAATCAATAACTTGTCCCGTTTCCATATAATCGATATCGGAATCCTGTTTTTTGAGCAAATCTCGTATGTATTAAGAGCTAGAGCTAACAAACTTGACATGTAGCTTCTAGAATAGCATATACTAATATAACAAGTATTTTTTATACCCTGAACCCATTAAAAATGGGTATAAGGGTATATTGTATTAGTGCAAAATCCAAATGTATGTAACAGGTAGAAGGAAGCATCTCCGACCCCATAAAGTGTATATATTCTTGATCAGCACCAATAGCCGAGTCGATCTAGCCATGTCAGTCGATCTGTCTGTCCGTCCGTCCGTCCGTATGTATGAACGCAAGGATCTCAGAACCTATAAGAGCTAGAGACTTTTAGATGTAGGTGCTCCTAGTGCCTGCGCAGATCAAGTTTGTTCCGATAATCGATAACTTACTCCGTTTCCAAGCAATCGATAAAAATCGATATCGATATCCTGTTTTTTGGTAAATAATAAGAGCCAGAGTCACCAAACTTGACATATAGCTTCAAAAATAAAATATATATATTCATTTGATGTTGAAAGAAGAAGGGTCAGGGTATCCCCTAGTCGGGAGCTCCCGACTAGAACCTATTACTTGTTTGTATTACTGCCAAAGCAAACGAGCTCGTGGCGCGAGCCTAGCTCTTATAAGTTCTGAGATTATTGCGTTCATACATACGGATGCAATGACGGACAGACAGACGGTCATGGTTAGATCGACTCGGGTGAGGGTCTGAGATGCTTCCTTCTGCCTGTTAAATTAAACCCCTTTTATCTTATTTCGATAGGTTCACAAAATATACTATCAATTCCGAATATAATCTAGCGTATAATAATTGTGTACACATTTTAAACCGATAACAAAATTATATATTCTTCTTTTCAGTTGATTTACAAACATGCACCTAACCCCCAATAACACCCAACCAAAGAGCCTATGCCATAGATTTCCGAGCTACCCAACTAATTCGTTTACCCTGCTTATGATTGATAAAAATAAGGCCCAAAAAAATAAAAATAAAAACGCCAGCCGAAAAATTCGATTTAACATCGTCAAAAAAACACCCAAACACTTTGCCGGCCATGTGCAAGCTTTGGGCCTTTCCGAGAAAAATATTCAACGCATTATGACAAATCCGTCTAAAATATGCAAGGGCCAATGGCCGCAGGTAAAAATGGCGGACAATAAAAGCCAGCCAGCTACGATGGACGTCATGCAGGGAGTTGGCCCGAAAATTATGCATAAAATGGCTTTGGGTAGGACAAAAAATAAGACCAACCAAAAGGCAAACAAAGATAAATTCCGCTGTCTGTGCTGGAGTCCAGTCGCTGCTGTCAATGTGCCGCCGGGCCATTAAATGACGGAAGTAAATAAGCTTGACAAATTTCCACTCATCATTTTTGCATTAATTCGGGCTTCTTTAACGCATCAACAAAAAAAAAAAATAAAAGTACCCAAACAAAAAAAAAAAATAAACGAAAATGTCCTTTGATTAATCAAAAAATTTGCCACGGCCACGTTTTGGAAGGGGCAGCGAAGTGAAAAAGGCGGCGGCAAGACAAACACAACAAATTACCCAAAGAGGCGCCGTCGGCATGCCGTGTGGCATTTGCGGCAGAGGCGCCAACACACACACACACACCCACACACACAGGCACACAACAACGACACATGAGGCACGTCAGCTACATCCCCCATCCGATTGTTAGCTGCGGCTTGTGGCAGCTTTGGAGACGTCAAATCCAACGCTTTCAGAAGCATTCAAAAGTGAGCAGCAAAAGCATATAAAAAAAAGAAGTCACATTGCTCTAGTCAGGGCTGCTCGACTAGAAGATACCCTGAAGCCAGGAAAAAGCTGCTATTGTTAACTGTTTTTAGCTTCCTTCCTTACAGACATATATAAAAACTATCATAAAAGCACAAATTCACCAAGCCCCTAAGTACTAGCTGCGAAATATCTAGGAAACAGGCGAGTATTCGCATAATAAAATGATTTGGATCTGTGTATATTTTATACAAGTCCCCATTAAAATTGTTGTGTCTCCTTTGAGGCAAGTTGTTGTTCACAAGCAGGACCAAATCTCTCTTATATTGTCGACGGATTTTAAATACTCAATAGGGTCAGAGAAAGCCCCTTCTGCTTGTTACATACATTTGCACATAGCCAATTTACCCCCATTACCTATTTACAATGTGTTCAGGGTATAAAGATTTCGCAGATTTCTGCACGCGATTTGTCAAGCTGACATTTGCGACGTCGGCGTCGACGTTGGCCGAGAATTAGAAGCGTTTGTTTTTGTTGCCACAAACGAACTTCAGCTTCAAGCAGCCGGCGAGCGACAACCCAAGTTGATTTAGTAAGTCACATGGCCGCGTAGCTGTAAATTGCCTGCTCCCGTTCCGGGTGCGGCTCTGGTGCCGGGTCTTGGTCCGAGTTCCGCCACCAAGTGCTAGCTCGGAGCTCCCGTGTGAAACAAACTGTCGCTCCGTGTGTCTGGCATTGTTTTTGTTAAATTTGAATACCCTTTCGAAGGATATTATAGTTCTGTCGTGAAATGTGTAACGCGCAGAAGGAGATTTAAAAGATGTTTGTTCTTGATCACGAGTTGATTCAGCTGTGCCAGTGTATCCATTTGTTCATTCATTTCTTTCTGTTGCAGTTCGAACATGCGTCGGAGGCAGCCAGATTGAAGCACTGTCATATAGCTTCCACACGAAAAATCAGTCTGAAATTAGGTCCTTGTATCAAATACGTAACGGGACAGTATAATAAAACTCTGTTCTTCTTCGGGCATATCTTTACCCTTGACCAAACAAATTTGCAAATCATATCAGTTTACCATATCATACGTCGCCTGTAAGAAAATCTTGAATATAAGAGCCTACGAGCTAGAATCTATACGTTTACAGGGGCATTTAGTCTTCGGCGTGCGCTCGTTTCTGTTTTATATTTTTTTTTTGACCAGGTATAAAACGTTTTTGCAACCAATTTTGGCCGCCGGCAAGAGCTCGAAAAGTGAAGGCAACAAAGACATTTGGCCCGATAAAAGATAAGCCGAGCGAGTGACACGAGCTATGCGTCTTATATAGGCAGCAGACATAGCTGCCACCCAACGAAACAACACCCACAATCCACGAGTTATGTGATTCTGTAATTTAAGCAAAGAAAATGTTTCAAATTAAATGAAAACATGCACAGGTACTTGGCCCCGGCACCGACATGTAGTTTTTGGCAAATGAAACATAAGCAAAGCGAGCATTACCTGAACCGCAGACAGCTGTTTGCAAGCTCCAAAGATTAAATCCCCCAATCCGCCACATGCCTCAGCCCAAGCCCACATGAAGCCCCTGCCAGGGGCGAAACTTGAAGCCATTTCAAATAGCTGTTTACTTGCAATTGCACTGTATACTGGCATGTTTGTGACAAGCTCATGTAGTTTAATGGACTTGGTCAGAGATGGCACCGTGTCACGTCAAAACTGCACGAAATGGACAGCGCATAGAGTCCCAGTTTCAACGCCGAAGGAGTATTAAGAGTAGTGTTATTGCCCATCAATTTTAATGACAAACTTTTTCGATTTTCATAAGCTTTTCAATTTCTTTCAAAGCAGAAGAGTCTGTTAATATTTTAGATTTCTTCCTCGTAAGGTTGGGCTATATGTTAATCTACACTAACTCAGTCAGTCAGAATAAAGTATTTTATTTAAATATATATTATATCTCTTAAATGCACACACTCAATAGATGCCAATTACAATTGACTTGCAAAGTCTGCCCAATTCATACGAAATTAAACACTTTCCGTGTTCGGGTCGTGTCTTAAGAGCACACAAATGCGGCATACGCCCATCACTTGTGAACAGTTTGAAAGCAATGTGACAATTGCCACACCAAACTATGCTCAAAATCCAGGGCTAACACTTTGATACACAGTTGACCAACACAAATTGTTTAATGGACGGTGACACTGATTTAAATTAAATATTTGGCCTAACGGTCGCCATGTCATTCTGTCAACATGAGTTGCAAACAAACATGAAATTCATTCAACATATTTGCTGCTTGTTGTTAAAATATCAAAGTTAAATCCACTTAAAACTCAACGGTTAGTTAGCCACGCGATGCGAGAAAACCAAAAAAAAACTTGTAGTGTCAATAGTTGTGGCATAACAGATGACCTGCCTTTCCTATGTCACCTTTATTTGCGCTATATATAAAATACCTTTAATATATTTATATTTTAATTTTTTCTCAATTTTTCACTAAGGCCTAAGTACTCTTTAAAAACAATTTTTAAAATATAATAAATATAATGTTAAATTACTGTTAAGAAGATCTTAAAATAGCTCGTCGTACTATGACAGCTGTATTAGTGCTGAAAAACAGCAGCTGCTAAAAATAATGTAAAGCTAAATTCATTTTAAGTTAGCTTGTGGTATGATTTAACATTGAGTATTTATGTTGCGAATTAAGCATTACATATAGCATAAAAATCAGCAGTTGCTGAATGTAATGAAGGGATATGTTTGGTTAGCTTATTTTTTATTATTGCATGTTTTTTATTAAGACCTCTTATATATAAAATGAAATATATAAAATGTAAGAACTACTGATGTTAGGTTATGTAAGGTTAGGCTATGTTAGCTTAACATATGTTAAGTAAGGTTATGTTATATTCAATTATTTGTAATGCAGTTAATACAACATATATATATACATAAATTTGCTGCAGTTCAGTGGGATGAACATTAATTTTCCTGATAATTAGACAGTTTTGTAAGCATTCTTTTCATATTAATTGATTCAAATTTGTTTGCCACTGGAGTTCCAAATAACCAGCTAAAACGATAGAACCGCCTGTCGCAGCTCTTTGGCAAATGAGTCAAGTCACGCCGGTTAATGGAACGACGCATTGATTTTCCATTTTGAGCCGTGGCTGTCAGTCAAAGTGTCGCGTGCCAGATAGGCAACACAAACACGGACGCGGGGCACACTCCCAACTGTGGATGACATGCGTTCCCCGCGATGATGGCAATTTAAACAAGCGCAACATTTCCGTTTGTTATTTTGATACCCAGTAGCAAATTTATAAACAAGAATGAACGGCTATTTCTAAAAAGTTCCTTTGTATGGGATAAAACGCCAAAAGGATACGGGTCTGCTGACATGTTGGGAGAATCGCCTATTATTTATGAATTTGGTTAAGGTTCTTTATAAAAAATATATTTTCTAAAAATTAACTTAATTCCTATAGAAAAACAAATGGAATATTTATAATATCCAGCCGATTAAAATATATACATATATATACAGCCTGCAACAGTGAGTCGAAACTATACATAGCTGGCCTTATATATTTAAATAAAAGACTAGAAATGTGTGCTAGGTTCACATTTAGCTGTGTAAGGAGTATCTTCCCTCCGTGCTTGTATCAGATTACATTTGGCAGCCGTGTCAGTTGGTCCAGCGGCTAATTGGCCAGAGATTTAGGCTCTGCGCTGCGCTTTGTTGTAATTAAAAACGTAGTCGTCAAAGAAACGTTGCGTACAAAAGTCAAGTCGAACGAATGTCGACCGATGCAGCTAAGGCTTCACGCTCGCTCTCTCTCTCTCTCTCTCTGTCTATTTCTCACTCGCTCTTTCTCTGCTTTTAACCATATCATGGGCATTGGCAATTGCATTGACATATTGTTGCTTTCGGCTTTCTGCCTTGTGACTGTCAAAATGCCACGTCACGATGCCACAACGCCACGTTGCCATGGCCAAAGGCAATCCGACTCGTGCCTATGTCCATGTTGCTATCTCGTCTACCCTCCTCCTGCCTCTCTCTCTCTCTCTCTCTCTCTCTCTCTCTCTCTCTCTCTCTCTCTCTAGCCGCTATCAGTTTTAACGAGAGTTGTTGGCCGTAAAGCCTTTGGCTTTATGCTTGACATTAAGTGAACTTATAATTAAACGCTCTGCCCATTTAATCGGGTGTGTTTATCGTCGAATCAAAAGTCGAAATTCCTCTCGGCCAATTGCGCTGTGCTGACATTTGCTCTGCTTCTGCTGTTGCTCATCCAAGTACATTAACCAACACTGATAAGTGCAGCGTTGATTTCGATAGTAAACTCTTTTTTGACATAAGTAGAGTGCATGCTTTAATTGACTGATTTATGAAAAGCAAGCAAACGCTATAAGATTATCGAAAATTGTCATGACTGACAAACGTTTCTATCGATAAAATCGTTTTCAATATAAATACTGATATATATAAATAAGAAGCGTCGTTGATTCTTCATTTTATAATACAAAAAGACAACGCAGTCAAGTTTTACCAAATCGATAATGAAAATCATGCCTTATCAATCGTTTCAAATAAAGCAAAAAATACTTCGACAATATTGACAAACTAATTAATATTTTTTGAACATTCATTGGCAAAATTTGGCCGATAGAAGCACTTTTAGTTAAATCGATAGTTAAGTAACGTGTTTTATTGTTCAAGTTTTTTACCCCATTTTAAACTTAACAGATCTATCGATTGTCTTAAGGGTTGGCTTAGCACACTACCCCATAGACTAGTCCCTTCTAAATCACTAACCAATTATATTTTAATGCAGCTACGAAAAAGAAAATGTCTCCAGCCACTTTCACCCCTCGAAATTTACTGTACAATCTCCCACATGGGTCCCATTTAAGCAATATGTCATAAGGCCGCCAAGATGCTTAACTTGGCTCCTTTCGTTTCTGTTATTTTTATGACAACTCACGACAAGGAGCCGCTCCCCACATTGGATAAAAGAAGACAGCATATAAATGGCCACGAAACGGGCGTGCAAAATTTTAGGCTGAAAGAACTGAAAGATGTCGACGTGTAGTTATAAAAATTTGTTGTATCTTAAAGCGACTGTCAGTTTTACCAGGCTGTCTCGAGTGTCTTGCTCGGCCTGGCTGTCCTGCCTGTCCTTCTGTCTGCTGATGAAAACGAAGTTGACAATGCGAATGAGTTTCTTATAACAACAAAAAAAGGGCGGCTACAATAACAAAAACGAGGCGGAAGTGAAAACAAAATGAAGCGACAGCAAAAACTGGAAACGTGCCGCTAGGCTAGGCTTGGCTTATATGTACATACATATGTATTTGAGGGGTATTTGGTGGGGTTAGGGCGTTTGTGGCGCTCAGGGAAAGGGCTAAGGTTAAGCACTTGGGTTTTATACGCCATGCAAAAACCGAACAAAAAACAAAAAATAAGTAAGGATGCTTTAGTCGAACATCTCTGCTAGCAGATACCCTAAAAGCAGCGCCCTGCTGTCCATAGAAATATTTATGGCTCCTCCTAAACATGCACACACGAAACCATACATACATAAACACACACATATATGGAACCCGAACGGAGAAACTGTTTTATAATTTTTTGGGCAGAATGGGAAAAAGTATCCAAAGAGGAAAATATTCTAAATAATATTCTAAATATAAATTTGGATATATAAGATTCATAATTTTCTGGATTTGCCTGAAAATGCCATTCACAAAATCGATTATTATTGATTCTATGAATCCACGAAAGGACATTCTCAACCTATCAATATACGAAATCCAGCAAAGTCAGTTTGGTCTGATATCTAGGTAACCAGGTCTGAGAATTTCCTTAAATCGATAATTATCAATTCTGTGCATCGTTGTATCTTAGTATATTAATATGCAAGCCTGCGTATTTGATTTGATGTATCTAGGTCTTATGATTTTCGACCTATGCTTAAATACCAGATGCTCAAATTAATTCATATCGGAAAGAGAACACGGCTAGAATTACTATATTCTGCTATATATTCAAGAATATACGTATACACTTAATGTCCGTGAAGATGCCTCCTTCTGCCCGTTACATACTTTATACCTTACTTGCCATATTGAATGGCTACAGGGTATAAAAAACCTTTTCGAAATGTCGCAAGCGCAAACACAACATTTATGCGAATGTATGGGATAAGTTTTTGTGAAATTGCGAGGGGGCGGGGAAAAATTGTCTGTAACGGCGACAAGTCCCTAACCCCGAGTGCGTTTGCGTGTTTGCGTGCGGGTGTGTGTGGGTGTGGGTGTATTGTGTGTGTGAGTGTGTGCGTGTCTGCTGTTACGTTTGTTAACGTTTAATAAATCAAAATTACTTTTCATTTCTATGACAGTCAAAATGGGGCGTTACTTGACATTTTGCTTTTCATTTTGTTCATGCCACCATTTTTGTGGCGCGTTGGCTGTTGTCCTTTTTTTTTGTAGCATGCGTCGCGTCCTGCTGTCTGTTCATTTGCGCAGTTCGCAGCTTGTTGCCAGATGAAATCTCAGCGTTAAGAATTTTTGCCACATGCTCATGCTTAAAGCTTATCCTTATCGCATACTTAGACACACACACACACACACACACACACACACACACACACACACCGCACAACATACTCACACATTGTTGATTTTTATATTGGGTGCTAAATTCAATGCGCTCACATACCCCTCCCTCAGCCCATCCCCATACCAGTCG